GAAGAAGAAGAAGAAGAAGAAGAAGAAGAAGAAGAAGAAGAAGAAGAAGAAGAAGAAGAAGTTGTTGAAACAACAAAGAATACTGAAAAGTACCCTAAATGGAGAGATGTTCCCAACGTACACACAGTCACAACTCACACAGACAGACACATCCCACAAAAGCGTAAAGATTACTTTCCAGCTCAAGTTCTGACATGGAAGCCGAAACACAGACAAAGGCAATAAATCTTACCGGGAGTTTGGCTTTGCCTGTCACCACCTACGATCTGCCAGTGACTCCCAGGTTCTTATAGCCAGTGGACAGGCTGCAAGAGGGAGTCACTGACGTGAGCAGAGGCAGTTCAAAAATAATGATTCAGTTTTCATCCATGGCACAAAGACCCTTGAGAGGCAGATCTCCCGGCATCTTCAAGGGTAACCTATTTATCCTTCAAGTGCATCAGCTGCTCCATGAGCCACTGGCCATATTACGTGAGTTCTATAAAACACATGAGCCACTCTCATGCAGCCAAGTGGCTCTCCCATTTTCATGTTTAGGCTAGAAAGGTGATGATTATTATCTCACCTAATAAGATATACTTTGAGAGATATTAGTTTTTAAGTTAGCGCATTTTTCTTAAACAAGAAACTATTGCAAAAGACAAAATTGCTCTTTTGACCTACACATGGTACCTCTTCTTAAAAATAGTGGCTTGGTTTACTATAATAGTGCATTCAAAATGAAACAACTAGATAGCAGATACTTCACAGAAAAATGAAAAAAAAAATGACTATACCTGCAGCATCCCCTTGCTAAATAAGTCCCATCTGAAGAAAATGGTAAGGTGGAGAAATTGAACTTGACAGCTTGTGAATTTGCTTTGGTGCTAATGATTCAGAATGACATTCAGGATAAGCTCATTGTTGAGACGTCCGGTGATCTGAGCTGTAAATGAGAATAATTGGCTGTGGTTGTCATGGCAGTACACACCTGTAATCTCAGTACTTGGGAGGGAGAGATAGGATGATCAGCGATTTAAGAACAGCCTAGGCTACATTTTGAATTCGAGACCAGCCTTGGATACAGGAGACCCTATCTCAAACAAACAAACAAACAAACAAAAACAAAACAAAACTGATTATTGTTTCACCCCACGACACTTTAACCATGGACAACTAATTACGACATTCATTTTTTTTGTCTTTTGTTCAATCAATGAATGTCTTTATTTTCTTTCTTTCTTTCTTTCTTTCTTTCTTTCTTTCTTTCTTTCTTT